GCATCAGTCTCCAAGAAGATTTTCTCGATTCAAACAATGTGTATAGTCAGAGTATAGTATGAATTGGTATGATTAAACGAGTCCTTCTGAAATACATGTCTCAACGTCACTTCAATAAAGTGTAGAGGATAGATTCATTCAATATACAAGTCCTACACGAAAGCGGAAAGACTCATTATGTGTTGAATCTTGTTACGATTCGATAGATAATACGTCCTTGTTGAGAGAAAATTATCTTATGACTCTTTAATCACATTTCTGAGAAGATGAATGCATATGACATTGGTTAGTTTCAAGCAAAGGTTCGTATCATGACTCTTACTAACCAATGGAGATAGAAACTGGAATAAAAACTTTTTTGAAGAGCTCATCTAAATTCAGAACATGGAAGTTTCCGTTTCTAATGTATGCTTTATTCAATATAAATAATACTCATATAGTTTCAGGCCACAATCTAACATTTAACCAGCAGTACTCATATAGAATACCAAATAACACCTATGGAGTTGCTCTCGGTGATTTCAATGGTGACAATCGCATGGATCTTACTGTTTTCAGTTACTTTGAGAATTGTTTTTACATTTTTCTTGGCTACGGTAATGGAAGCTTTGGATCACCAACGACTTTCATAACTCGCACAAATCCATATGTAGGCATTGTCAGCGACTTCAATGGAGACAGTCACGCAGATATAGCTGTCATTCACCAAGGTAATGAAAGTGTAGGCATCTCACTTGGTCTTGGTGATGGTACTTTCCTTCCGCAAAATACTTTTACGGTTGGCTTTCTTTCGACTTCAGTTTGTGTTGGAGATTTTAATGGTGATCATCATCTTGACTTGTTGGTAGTCAACTATGGTGCTAGTACTGTCAGCATTCTTCGCGGTTATGGTAATGGCAGTTTCGCGTCCCAAACCTATTTTTCTACAGCCTTTTATCCAGAATTAGCTGTTGTAGCTGATTTCAATCACGATAATCGTTTAGACTTTGCTGTCACCGGCTATGGAACTAATAGTGTCGGCATATACCTAGGCTTTGACAATGGCACTTTTCGGGCGCCAACCTCTTATTCCGTTCAGGGTAAACCGTTCGGGCTGGTCATGGGTGATTTGAACGGTGATCATCAAATGGATTTGGTCGCGTCGAATTGTGAAAACGGTACGATCAGTGTGTTAATTGGCAATTGCAACGGCACTTTTCGAGCAGCAGATTACTACATAGTTGGAAGCTGTTCGATTAGCCTCGTAATGGGTGATTTGAATGGTGATACTTACTTGGACGTCGTTGCTCTCGGATCCTTCGCTAATTATTTTACTGTATTTCTCGGTGATGGAACCGGAGCTTTCTTCGCATCATTGTCTGTTGTTACAGATGACTATCCGATGTCGGTGACTCTCTATGATTTTGACAATAATGGAGGACTTGATGTCGTGGTTGCGCACGCCTGGGGTCATATATCAGTATTTATGAACACATTTTAGCAGGGTTTGCAGATAGGACTGAGGGTACGGGTACCACCCACACCAATATCCTGAGAAACTATACGTAAAACAACTTCAGAAACTTGACTATTGGAAACATTAATATACGGAAATAAAAAAAACAACGTAAATTCATATATATTTTCTTTTGATTGTGCTTTCTCCTCTATGCTGAATATGATGACAGCACGTGTGAGTATTGATGATAGTAAAAATTCGATTGCACCAGCCATACAAGTAAAACTAACTTCAATATCATGCTGACCACCACCTAGAAGGAATCTTCCACTAATGAGACATCCAATTTAACCGAATAAAGATAAGACATTGAATAGTGTCATTATTGTAAATCTCACCGAATTCATTTGTAATCGAATGATAAGTCGTTTAATACTGACACCTCCTAGACGCGTACCACAACAGAATATTCAGTTCGCGACAATTTTTTCATACACATGAAACATTGGTTAAAACGATGTCGAAGCAATCGTTTTTAAGAGATCACTAATACTTTTGAGTGTATTTCGACACAGTAATATTGTTCAATTCATATTAAGTAACTTAGTCATCTTAGGAATTGAAAAAATATTGTCAAAAGATATGCTTTGAAAGTTTAGTATTAATTGTTGTACTGAATCAGGACAGATCAGAACCAAATCAAAGAAATAAGTTAATTCAACACCTTTCTAAAAATGAATCATTGCTCGAAAAGTGATTACGAAGAAAGATTCAGCCCAAGAAACACAGCTATGAACTAACAGTATAAAAAAGGCATTCACATGAATGTTCTAGCTCATGTCAACTTAATGAACTACGCTTTTTTGTACAAAGCAACAGTGTATAATATTAAACGAGTAGCACACAAATGTGCTTTGCCATTTTCCTTTCATTGGCTTCTCTAATATGTGGAATAATATCGAATTGGTAGAACGAAAAATATGACCGGAAAAGTGTCCAAGAAAAAAGAAGGATTTATTTCTTCAAGATATATGTGTTTGGAGTTTCGTGAGGGTAACGAGAAGATACATATTGATAGCAATACTCATACTACAAAAAAAAATGGCCAACTTAGTAAACTCTGTCATCCTATATAAGAGAGTAAGGAGTTTGTTTCAGAAAGTACTGTCGACCGATCACCCACTAAATGAGGCCCAGTCCTTTAAATAATTCATTAATGCAATATGAATGACAGTAAAAAACGTTGTAGATTTCATTAATACTAATGGATTGCTCTGTTGATTCATGACACGCATAAAATCTGTAGATAATTGTCCGGATTTTGATGCAAACTGAAGAAACCAATAACTATCCCATTGAATAAATCGAATTATTAAAGTTATCGTGGCTGAGGACAACTACGTAGGCTATCGAATCTTTTGTTAACATTTAAGAATGAGTAAAGTGCGTCAATTTGGTTCAAATTATTCCAAATCATAAGGGTTATTTCGTCTGATAGATTCATCATACTACTAGTAGCCATTGAGCAGCTCATATTTGTTGTGAATAGAGTAATCGTCATTACGGAGAATAAAGTGCTGTTGAATTGTCTTATGTATATATATATTGTGGTCAAAATTAACATTCAATTCAATTGAAAATTTGTTTAGTCAAGATAAAAATTTGACCTTTGACTGGGATTATATTGTAGGACATAAAATTTCAATTTTAGCCTAGACAAAATTCAAAGTGCAATTTTGACTAGGCAACTTTCAGGTTTGATCTTAGCATATATTAATCAATATGAAATTTTTGATCTCGTGCAAAGTTGATGAAACTAACATCATTCAAAAGAGTGTGAAAACTGAGTATTGACTACAAATTTTCAAAAAACAGGTCCTCTACAGCTTCTAGCAATTTTTTAAATAGATTGTCCAGCAATAATTCCAGTTATATAAGCGCGGTCAACCGAACTGATGTAAGTGAAAAAAATTCCATACCAAGCATCTTTAACAATATGATTATAAAAAGATACTTCAAAACTTCCGTTCCTAGTAAGAGATATAGCTCAAACAATATCAGATCATTAGTATTATATGTGTACTATAACTGGTAAAAAAATTGCACTTTTCTGATATACATCTGAAGCTATAGAAACAAAATAAGCATTGATGTATCAGTTCGGTTGGCCGCGCCCATATATTTTCATGTGTCTTAAATACTGTAATAGTATTGGCAAAAGTTATAGTTTATATTGTATTAACCAAAATAGCTTTTTTAATGACCTATAGTCGATTTGATTTTGTTTATATTTATGTGCACTGTACACGTAAAACACTTTAAAATATATAAAACATGAATAAACGCTTTTCTCTGTTTTCCACAATTCGAAAATATTGTTTTATTTAGCTCATCCAATACATTTAGCAAGAAGCTTTCTATAATCTGCAATGTTTTTATAGTTTAGTACAGAGCTCTAAAGATTTTCTTAGTGGAAATCAGTGTTCCATATACAGGATGTCCTGAAAGTCATTGGCCAAAACGAAATTCCCATATCTCCATCATATTTGAACCGAATGCACTAATTTTTTTTTCTGATTATATAAACAAGTTTCAAGTTTTCATTCATAAATCAGAAGCTTATTCGCACGTTTGAAAGCTACCATAGTCGACTTCAATACAGAAGTTGGCACTTTTTACCAATTAAATCCACTAGTAGTCAAAAATAAAAAACACAAATGTATTCAAAAATCTGTTAAAATATTTCATTTTATAGAGCTTGTTCCGTTGATCATTTGCGTAAAAAGATACTTCTATTTTCATCAACAAATAATATTGCTAGAGTTAAATTATTGGAAAACGTCAAACTTCTCTGTAATTCTGAGGCAATTCGATGTTTCCAGTAATTGGACTCTAGCACTGTTATTTATTGATCAAAATAGAATTTTTTTTGAAAAAGTAATCAGTGTAGAAAGCTTTATATAATGGAATACACTAAAGAGTTTTTAGATACCGATATGTTTTTATGATTGACTACTCATGGAAATACCCTATCAAAACTTAACTTCAATTGATTGGCATCTGCAGCAATTTATTGTGTCAAGACATGGGAAGGATTCTGTGGAGAGTTCGATCAGCTAGATAGACTAAATAAACAGTCAAATACCGCAAATAAATTATTTAATGATATTGAGAAAATTTAAGAACATGAGGGATTCGAATCATATTATGGGAACCGAAAATCTATCGTGTATCTTTGGTAGAAACCGTGAAATGTTCTCTCTTATTTAGGCAATAATAGTTTTAAGCGTTCTTACTACACCTTTTCACTTATCAAAAGAAACTTGGAACTCTCCTTTATTATCAGAAAAAAAGAGTTTATTTGGTCCAAATATGATGGAGGTACAGAAATTTTTTTTTTGATCAATCACTTTCAGAACACTCTGCATTTCCTTGTATGTAGTTGAAGAGAATCCCATATAAATATTACTTTACAATTCCTATATTTTCAGCAAGTAGCGCTATGAAGCTAGTAAGTTTACGAAAATGTCTTTTTCTGTTTCACTTTGTACACTTATTGTTGATTGCAGAAATGTTTTTGTCGATGAAAAAATTACATGGTTTTTTCGAATAAGAATTTAGTAGCAACCTACGACATGTTTTTTTAAATTTTCTTTTTGTTTAAAATTTGGCACATTTCGGCCTACGGGCGCCCATCGGAAATCTGAGTCAACTCGATTCGACTCATGGACAGACTGGGCAGAACAGGGTCGAGCCAAGCCTGGCTCGTTGACAGCTCTGGTATATTTCATCATTAAGAGAAAATAAGTTGTGTATTAAAGATGTATATTACAATACAAATAATTTTTTTCAGCGTAATAATGTTAAATGAATCTAATCAATTGATAGAATACTGTAATATGAAATGATAAAATTTCAGAGTGCGTCTATCAGCTATAAAGATATTAAAAATTTTGATTTGTTCATTCATTTGGCATTTTTTTTAAAAAATTATTTTCACCCTTCTTTTTTTTTAGATTATGCTGAAATTTTATTCGTGACATCCATATATTTTTTTTGTGACTTTTTGTTTCATTTTTTTGCGAACGCTTACGAAAGACATGATGACGATAACATACAGAGAAAATAAACACAAGGAACAGAAAACGAAGAAAACAAATCGAGGCAGTGATGACGAGACTTAAATTATTGTTTGTTCATCCTTTTGTCTATTCTTCCATTTTCGTGCATCTTGATACCAAGGACAGCGTGCCGGAGGAAGGGATTGAACCTTTTGATGTCTGACTAATAATTAGATGCATAGAACATTTTCTTGTTAGTATAGTTTTAATTGGACAACGAAGATTCACTAAGAGATTATGTTACTTACGTAAATTTCTTTTGAGCACTTAAACTTAACCGCGATTTGATCTCAAAGCATAAGCAATAAAATAGAACGAAGAAAGGTTTGAAGTAATCGGACTAAAAAGAAATAGCACAAAAAGATGAACGATGTGCTTATAAAGAATGATTGTAAAATATTGAGATTATCAACAAATGGGTGTGGAGGGAAAGAAGACGCACATCCAACATTTCATATAAGTTGCATAGTGATTCAACGACTCGATGCCATGGCATTTACAGCTTGAAATCGTACAGTGCAAGAGAAATTTAAATTACTATGCGTAAAATGAATCTTCAATGACGCCAGCTGTCATTCATGACTGTACCCTTTCAATCTTTCTGTCTCCTCGTTCTGAATCTATCAATAACGACAGCCTGTTGAAGTGCCCAATAATGATTCAAATTCTATCTATTCGAACTTTAATTTATATTGTTTTCTAATTGGTGGAAAAAAAACATGTTCAACTCCCCGCATTATGATTGATAGTTTTCTTTTAAATATCGAAGACGATCAGCATGAGAATACAATAAATCTATCAAAAGTAAATCGAATTCATACAAAATTTCATTCCTGTGTGAATAAATTATCTTGATTGTTTAGATAGTCTATTGAATCTGTGGTTTCCTTTTCGAAAAAATAAATTCTTTCTTTTCTATAG